TCTTCCAGTTGATCAAATCAGCTACTGAAGCTTCTGCATGCGTCACATAGTTCTCGTGCCATGGTTTTCAGCTCCATCAGGTCATTTAAGGTCTTCTCTACACTGTTTATTCTAGTTATCCATTCATCTAATCTTTTTTCAAGGATTTTAGCTTCTTTGCGATGGGTTCAAACATCCTCCTTTAGCACGGAGAAGTTTGTTATTACCGATCATCTGAAGCCTACTTCTGTCAACTCATCATTCTCCATCTTGCTTTGTTCTGTTGCTGGCGAGGAGCTGTGTTTTTTTGAACGAGAAGAGGTCCTCTCGTTTTTAGAATTTTCAGCTTTTCTGGTTTCTCCCCATCTTTGTGGTTTTACCTACCTTTGGTCTTTGATGATGGTGACGTAGAGATGGAATTTTGGTTGGATGTCCTATCTGTTTGTTAGTTTTCCTTCTAACAGTTAGGACCCTCAGCTGCAGGTCTGTTGGAGTTTGCTGGAGGTCCACTTCAGACCCTGTTTGCCTGGGTATCACCAGCAGAGGCTGCAGAACAGCAAAAACTGCAGAAAAGCAACTGTTGCTGCCTGATCCTTCCTCTGGAAGCTTTGTCTCAGAGGGGAACCCAGCTGTATGAGGTGTCAGTCGGCCCCTACTGGGAGGTGTCTCCCAGTTAGGCTACTTGGGGGTCAGGGACCCACTTGAGGAGGCAGTCTGTCCATTCTCAGATCTCAACTCTGTGCTGGGAGAACCACTACTCTCTTCAAAGCTGTCACACTGGGAAGTTTAAGTCTGCAGAAGTTTCTGCTGCCTTTTGTTCAGCTATGCCTTGCCCCCAGAAGTGGAGTCTACAGAGGCAGGCAGGCCTCCTGGAGCTGCGGTGGGCTCCACCCAGTTTGAGCTTCCCTGCTGCTTTGTTTACCTCCTCAAGCCTCAGCAATGGTGGACAATCCTCCCCCAGCCTCACTGCCACCTTGCAGTTCAATCTCAGATTGCTGTGCTATGTATAATAGTAAAAAATTTGTGTTCAATTATGAGCACTAGAAACAAATACTAGTGAGTGAATAAAAAGTTTTAGTAAGGGATTATGATGGATAAGTCAGTTAATAAGAGAACTTGATGGATAAGCGAATTAATAAGAGTCCATAGTGAAGGCAATTTCCTCTCTTGAAAAACATTATCTTTGGAATATACACAGGATGTACTTTTCAAAAGAAAAAAGTGTATATAGGGGAAACAATTTTCACTCATTCTCAAGACATTCAGTACTTTTCCATAGATAATCTATTGCTATACAAGCATAATAATTCCTTTTCAATATATTTTCCCAGCAACAAAGAAGTTCAGTGTTTGTATTTGTAGTAAGAAGAGTGCTGATCTGGCCTGAAATATAAAGTTTTACTTTAGATATATGTCTCATAAATAGTTTTTAAGAAGTCAGGGAATATGCTTACAAAGGGATTACCAAGGCCCTATAACACATGAGTTTTGGGGCACAGGGAGATCAAGATTTAGAACAAAGTTAGATGTGATCTAGGGCCAAAGTTTAGCACCAGGGTGTGTGTGTGCGTGTGTGTGTGTGTGTATGTCTGTTTGTGTGTTGGCTGGGACAGGTGGAAGCCTTTGGAGAATGCCTGTAGGCTGCTAGGGAGGTGCTATGATCTCTAGGCTTTGGTAGGTCCTTACGAAGAGACATGGTTCTGAACGGTTGACATCCCTACAGGTTTTTAAATATTTTTGTTATCCACAGGGATGACCCTGGACATCATTACAGAAATTTAAAAATTTCACCCCTGGTCACACAGGTTATCCTTCTCATGGTGGCATGGCAAAACTTGATTTGCAAGAGTTTCTTTTGTACTGTCCCCAGTGTATCCCTTTAAAAATAGGAGGTCCTCCAGGGTGAGGAATGAAGGAGAAAATATCCCTTCTAACCTATTTTCTCGTCTTCATTCCAAGGACTCTAGAAAGGCACAGCAGGTTTGGTTTTGAAATCGGTGGAATTTTAGTGCTGTCCATTCTCCCAAGTGGATGCATTTAGTGAAGGTAAGAGGAAAGACTGTTTTCTGTATCAAGGGAAGATTCATGTGCAAACCCCAAGACTCAGATGTTAATTGAGAGAAGTTGGTGTCCATAGTTAAGTAGAACTAGCCCAGGTTCATCTGCCTACAAGGGCAACTGTGTGAGGGAAATATGAGGAAACTGGCATAACAGGTGGGGTGGAATCTTCCTGGGAGAAAGAGTAAAGAGAATTCTAGGTGGAGAGGGGATCGATGTGTTGAGCAAACACATGTCTGTCTTCTTATTTCCTATATGAAATCATGGAAAAGACTTTAGAACAAACAATAAATATGTCACAGTAGGAAACCAAAGAGCACTCCTTTGGCCAGAAATAGAAACTATTTAAACAAAAAGAAAAACAAAACAACAGCGATAAAAAACACCTTAGACTTGGAAAACGACAGAAGTTAAAAAATGGAAAGTTGCCTGGATGTGCTTTTATTGTGGCCTCTCTAATGAACCTGTCCCCACTCTATCTCCGTGTCCTTGCTTGTCCTAAGAAGCATGGTGGCAGCCGTGGCATTCAGCATGCTAAAGTGGTCGTTTTTGGCCCGTGGGCTTGAGATGGCAGTGAAGTGGCATCATTTGCCTGGGGAAATGCCAGTGGTTTGTTGTCTCACACTATGGAAACTGAAGATATGGACACAAAAGGAGTATGTTTAAGAGTGAAAGTTTAATAGGCAAAAGAAAGAAGAGAGAGTTTCCTTGTGCATTGGAAGGGTGTCTGAGCAGGTTTCCGGGTTTGGGGTTAGTTGTGGTTGGTTTTATAGAACAGCTTCAGGAGGCAGTGTCTGATTTACATAGGACTGAGAGGATTGGTTGGAGCAGGTGTGCACTTTATGTGATGCATTAAGAGGCTGGCCATCCCACACTAAACTTTAGTATGTAGATGGGGCCTCTACCTGGCCTGTGCCATGTTGCTTGCACATGTGAAGACAAAGAAAAGGGAATAGGAGGCTGGGTGTGGTAGCTCATACCTGTAATCCTAGCACTTACAGAGAACAAGGACAGTGGATCAAGAGAGGTCAGGAGTTAAAGACCACCCTGGCCAAGATGGTGAACCCCGCCTCTACAAACAAACAAATAAACAAAAATTAGCTGTGCGTGGTGGTGGGCTCTTGTAATCTCAGTTACTCAGGAGGCTGAGGCAGAGAATTGCTTGAACTTGGGAGGCGGAGGTTGAAGTGAGCTGAGAACGTACCACTGCACTCCATCCTGGGCTACAGAGTGAGATTCCAACTGAAACAAAACAAACAAAACAAACAAACAAACAAACAAAAAAGGAAGAGGAAACCTCCATGTTGAGTATGTGTGGCTTCCAAGTATCCCTTTTCTATTTATACGTGCCAACATTTACCTTTGCTTGATTTTTCAGGCTGATTTTTGTTAGAAAAGAAATTATATGGGTGCTGCTTTTTTATTAAAAGAAAAACCATACTGAGGACTCCCTTACCCACACTGACTGCTTAATAATTTCTTTTCAGCCCCTGTATCAGCAGTGCTTGCTCCTGATAGGTGATGATCATGAGGGGGCCAGGAGCCTCTAGACCTAGAGACAAGTGGCCAGCACTCTCCAGATGGAGTGTTTCCCTCCTCATCACCACCTGCTGGTCAGTTTGACAAACAGATGAACAGAAGTTCTCAAATACACAATAAACAGATAACCCCAACATCACCAGAAATATCAAGTTGGGATGGCATTTTGTCAAATTGTCTTTATTTTTAGTCTGCATCATCTGTTGCTTTCTTAGGGAAGTTTTTTGAGTTCTCCCACTGAGACTGTGGATTTGCATTTTTCTTTTTGTACGTCTGTCAGCTTTTGCCATACATATTTTGTAGTTGCGTTGTGTTGTGAGGCAGATTCATGACTTGTGTTGTGGGAGAATTCTGTATTTATCAGATGTTCATCTTACGTTCTATTTTGCCTAGTATTGATGGTATAACTTTACTTTTCAGTTTCACATTCATTTAGTATATCCTTTTCCTTTCTGTGAACCCTTGTGTGTTGTTTATTTGAGATATCCTTTCTTAGGTACTGACAGTGACCCCCAAATTCATATGTTGAAGACTCAACTCCCAATGCCCTTGGAGGTGGGCCTTTGAGAAGTAATTGGGTTTAGATTAACTTATGAGGGTGGAGCCCCCATGATGGAATTAAGTCTTTCTAAGAAAAGGAAGAGAGTCTGAGCTCTCCTCTGTCTCCATCATGTGAGGACACAAAGAGCTAGCAGCCATCAACAACCTGAGAGAAGAGGACTCAGAAGGCAACTTACCTCACTAGAGCCTTGTCATATCGCTTCCCAGTTTCCAGAAGAGTGAGAAATCAATTTCTGTTGTGTAAGCCACTCTGTCTATGAAATTTTGTTATGACAGCCAGAGCTGATTAATGCATGCTTCTTGAACTTTGTTTTTAACTCAGTATGAAACTCATATATTTTTATAGGAACATTACTCCATTCTTTTTTAGTGTGTTTATTAATAATTTTGGACTTATTTGTGCCATATTTTAGAACTCCTCTTTCCTCTTTCCCACGCTTACTTGTTGTTTCAATCCAAGTGCATGATAAGGTTTAGGAATCACTATCTTAACAGGACCATGAAGGGCTAGATAAGGGAAGCTGGCTTGCATTCAGGGAAGAGGCAGAGGAGGGAAGCTGCCAACTGGGCTGTGCTAAGATGACCTGAGCCCCAGACCCTGAATGAACATCCTCTTCTGGATATAGGACATGCCAGAGGCATCATTTTGAAATAGGCAAATTTTATTTGCTTTGCGTTCTTTCGTCATCTGTATTAGCTTTTGCCTCTTGAGTGCCAAAATATAGCAGTTTTTATATTACCCAAGTTCCCGAGTTTATTTTTTTTTGTCAGAATTTTCCACCCTTAGAAATCCCAAATGACATGTTTCCTCTCTTTCTCAGACCATACTTTCATTTCAGTCAATGTAACAAATCAGTCAGCTCTTAGAAGTTTAGAAATCTGATTGGATTTATTCATACTAAGCTGTAACATATCTACCACAGCCTTCCAAGATGAATTGGAGTTTTCCAAAAGCTCCATGACCTACAGAATTCTTTAGGTGCTGGAATTACACACTTTTAAATCGCATCAAGTATAAACATTCAATTTTGTGGACATTTATTTTTTATGGAGATATGAGGATAGTTGTTGGTTAATACTGGTAGACTTTACTCCAAAAGCCAATTGTATTAAAATTTCTTTATTTTTTTAAATTCTAGACTATCAGAAAGAATAAAAATGCCATTTTTTTTTCTTTTTGCTATACCTTCAATATTCACAGTAATCCAAGTTCCAATGTCAGGGTGCGAGAGCAGAGCCAAATGAGGCCATGGTTTTTTCATGAAGTGCATTTTTTTTTTTTTTTTTAGATCAGGGATTCAGACATTATAATATAAGTGTTCAATTAGAAAGTTATTATGATAGTGCATGGCACGTATCCTTTCCATCATCTGGATTTTTCTGATTTTTTTATCTGGCTCACTCTTACTCACTCTTCAGTCTTCACTTTAGTGGTCACTTCTCCCCAGAATGCTCATGACCCCTTAAGATATTAGTGCTGCAAACACTAAAAGCTGAACTTATAACTGGACTCACAGGCAACACCTTGTCCTGTGCCATGCTTCACTAATGACGAGGAAATGAGAAAGAGTAGGAGAAAGGAGGCAAAACAAATATCATTTCCATAGCAGAGGCCTCAAGGCCAGCCCACTTGATTCTCTGGAGATCCTATTCTGCATAACAATGATGAAAGGTAGCCTAGGAAGCCCATTTGTCTGAGGCTTCACCTTTGATACCTTGCTAGTCACTAAACTAAGAGATGGATTCCATTCTTCAGTGTCGTCATTGCATCATAAATCCATACATAGCAGTGGTATTTATTTCTAATAAAGTATCAATATAAATTAGGTATATTCTGTTGACAATTTTATTAAAGTTCTTTATTTATCTTCCAGATAGTAGATTCTATCAACCAAGTTTCATAAAGAGTTCTGATTCCCAGAGGTAAGAACTGAGCCTGGCTTTCTAGTTACATGTTTACTGGTAACTCGGTCCTTCCCTACAACACTTAAGCATAATTAAAGACTATACCCTCCCCTGCCTCCAGCCTGGATTGTGAGCTCCTCAAGAGCATGGCTGTGTCTTTTAACATCAAGTCTCCACGTGAGAAAGAGTTCCTGCCGTATCACAAATGTCCAATCGACATTTGTAAGTGAAGAAAGCTATTCTGTGGTGTCTGCTTTAATATTAAGAGATGGCTTGCCCAAATTGCTAAGCAGCTTCATTGTCTAAAATGGAACTAGATTCTGTGGGTAGCAGGTCCATTGGTGCCACTCACAGGAGGCCTCAAAGAAACCTGCCGCCTTCACAGAGCTGCGGGAGCGTTCATTTTCTTCCAGCACAGAGATGTAAAATGGAATATTCTTCTGAAGCAGATACTTCTTGTATCGCACCATCACCTGTGCCATTTTGCCTGTCTTTCGGTATTTTTCCACACTGTAGGCCATTCCTACTTCACAAGAAGGGTCCATGGTTATCCATGCGACTGGGGCCCCCTCTGGTCCCAGCATACAGGCTGCTGGCAGGGCTCCTATGCAGCGCTCGATGTAGCGCAGGCTCCTCTCATTCTTCCCTAGCTTCCAGTTGTCATTTACCAGCCCAGAATAAGATACATCCAGTTGGCCATACTTAAAGTTGGGAGTTTCCCTGTAGAAAACATAAAGAAAGACAAAAGCTTTGACCCCACTCCTGTAATTTCTTGGTGCCATCCCAATCTTGGGATCCCAGGCCCTCTTTTTCTTTAAAGACCCACCAGTGCAAAGTTGCATATTTTGACCTTTGACAACCTTTATTCATCCCTAGGAATGAATTCATCCTCTCTTCATTCCAAAACTGATGTATGTGAATTAGAAAAATGTACAAGGACTAGCAATTATAAATGATTAGCATATGTTTTTGTACCTTTCAAAGTCATCATCTGGGTGGCCTGTCTCAGCCCAGCTTCCAAACTTGCTTTTATTGGAGGCATTGAGCTTCAGAATATCTTCCGTAACCAAGAGGACTGCTGTCGAATGCTCTACCTTCACTGACTTTGAAAATGCAGCTGCTCTTATCCCCTCACCTAAACTTTCTTGAAGACCTGGGAAGAAAGGCAAGAAAACAATCTTGTCAGATATGGAGTTCTCTACTTACACTGCTCCCACCTGATTAATAGCTCAGTGCTTAGTCGTTCTCAGACTTGAGTTTACACCACAATCAGATGGAGTCCTTGTCACACCACAGATTGCTCTACCTCTCCCAGCTCCCAGAGTTTCTATGAATTTACAGTTCTAATGAGCTCTCAGGTGATACTAATGGTATTAGTTGAAGACACAATTTGAGAAGCACTGCTGGTTGCCCATTTCTTCAGACTCGTTACCTTGGATTTGGAGTCTCTGTTTCCAGTTGATGATCTCACAATTTTTCAAAACTTCTTGTGTTTTTTGAGGGTCTTTGGAGAATATACGATATACATTTGTGTATGAATCCATGTCATCAGTCATCTCCTGTATAGGATGGTGAAAGGTCAGATCATTCCCTTGAACTATTTCTTCACCTCTCACTGATTGCAATTATCAGAAAAATGAAAATTCAAAAGAAAATTTTGACACTGGCCCATGATGGCTGCAGTTGGGCACACGGATAATAAAACCTAGACCTATAAGCTACTGCTGACCTCTTACCTGTGTAACTGGAGTTTGTTAAATACTTAACACTGAGAGGTAATAGTTATAAACCTGTTTATTAGATACAGAACAAAGACAGGATGAAATCAGTCACCCTCCATCAGGCCTTAAGATGCCTCACCTTTCTCTCTACCCACTCAACTGCACCCTTAACTTATTTTACATATAGCATCACCAAGTACCCAGCAAATTCAGAAGATTGCAACAATTGCTTCTCTCCCTGCTTCTGTCACCTCCTGGGCCACATGTATCCATCCTTCTGTTATATATATATAACCTCCTGTGAGACACATTCTGGGTTGTAGTGAGTCTTTGTTGCTAGGATTAAGTCCTTAAACTTGGATCAGAATAAATGTAACCATGATTTCTCTAAGTTCTAGTGCCTACTGTTTCACTGGACACCTAGAATCTATAGTGTCCTAGAATCTACAGTGTCCAGGGCTTGGGCAAGATATTTTAGTGAATGTAAGCATTAACGAGGCATTGCCTTTCCCCAAGGCTACACGATATCAGCCTATTCGAAGAGTGACACTGGCTTTACAGCCAGAAGCCCACAAAGTAGAGTGAAGTAACTGAATTTTTGTTAGCACTCTGGGTAATTTATATGGTGTTAGACTCTTGGGTTTGAAAGAAAGAGACTTGTAATCCCTTTCTGGCAAGCCACAAACTTGATGTGAAGATGAGTATCTGTTTCTCACTGGAGATATAAACAATAAATGTGAGAGTTTTAGCGGTGAGTATATTAATATTATGTTGGAAATTGTATAGTTAAAGAGTAAAAGAGAAAATAGTGTAACTAATTTTAGAAACCTTCAAGAATTTGAGAATGCTTTTATAAATGTAAGTTCCTGAATATGGCCAAAACTAAAACCTCAGCAAATTTAAAAGAGTAGATGTTTTAAAAGACCCAATTTTAAAAGAATGACCAAAAACAGCCCAGTAAATATTCAAGGCATTATAAAAAGAATATCAAAGTGAACTAGAAAAAAACAAGTGGAACAATTTATAAAAATGAAAGCTATATATAATGAAATGGAGAACAAGTCATAGTTCAAAGGATATATAAAGCCAAAAGTTTCTTTTTTAAATGGCAAAAAGAGAGATAGAAGATGAGAGAGATAAATTTCTTGTAAGGCTTATAAAGGAGATACGAGAGAGAAAAAAGCGAAAAAAAAAAAAAGAATAGAGTATGAGACATGAGAACAGAAACAGAGAAAAGAACAAAAGAATTATAATAGAAGATTATATGCTACTCCAGGACAACATATTTACTGATAAAAAAAAATGGATGTTATCCCTCAAAGATAAACTATCAAAATGACCTTCAAAAAAAATAGAAAACCTCAACAAACTAATAGGAAAATCAGAAATTATATTAAACATCTACCATTTAAAAAGTGGATAAGGATTATGGCCTGCAGCTCCATCCATGTTGCTACAAAGGACATGTTTTTTTCTCTTTTATCGCTGTGTAATATTCCATAGGAATATATGTGCCAGTTTTCTTTATCCAATCTACCATTGATGGGCACCTGGGTTGATTCCATGTCTTTGCTATTGTGAACAGCGCAGCAATGAACATGCAAATGCATGTGTCATTTTGGTGGAATGATTCATTTTCTTTTTGGTGTTTACCTAGTAATGGAATTGCTGGGTCAAATGGTAACTTTGTTTTAAGTTCTCTAAGAAATTTCCAGACTATTTTCCACAGTACAATAATCCTAAGAAAATTAATGCTGGAACAGAAAACCAAATATCACATTTTCTCACCTATAACTGGGAGCTAAGTATTGAGCACACATGGACACACATGTGGGAATAATAGTAGACACTGTGGACCACTAGAAGGTGGAAGGAAAGGTGCTGGGTTAGAAAACTACCTGTTGGGTACTATGCTCACTACCAGCATGATGGTATCTCTTTGTACTCCAAGACCCAATATTCGCAATATTCCCATGTAACAAATCTGCACGTGTACCCCCTATATCGGAAAGGGAAGATGAAATTAAAAAATAAAAAGTAGCCAAAATCAGATTATTTTACGTTTAAATTCTACATAAGTGAAAAACAAACACATAATTTTAATAGTAGATTTTGGTAACAGATGAAAAGATCCTAATGCCAAATCTGGTAAAGAAATAACAAAAAGAGAGCTATTGTCCATATTTCCTTATGAATACAGATGCAAAAATTCTATTTTAGAGTATTATTATTTTGTTATTTTTATTTGCATTCTTGATTTCCAAATATATCACACTATTTTTTAATCCCCTGTTTGTTTACTAATAAAATATTCAGTACTATATCAAAAGAATGTGAACATGAACAGTTTGTTTTAGAAAGGCCAGTATGGCTTTGACTGGAAGATCTTTCAGTGTAATAAATTAAAGGAGGAAAAATTACATGACTATATAAATTGCCAAAAAGAAAAGACAAAAGTGAAAGAACATAAAATGTACCCTCCATTCTAAATATATGTTCTATGAAAGTAGGAAGAACAGGAAAATGCTCTAAACCTGTAAAGGCAGAATCAAATGTAATTCCAAATGTAAGTAGTTACAGCTATTTCATTAAAATCAGGAATGAGACAAGGAGAGAACTATTATTATTGTTAGTTGGTATTGTTTTCTTAAATTGTACATTATGCAATAAGGCAAGAATCTAAAAACCCATACAAATATTGGCAATGAAGGAGCAAATTACCTTGTTTGTAGATTATAGTATTATGCATTTAGAAAATCCAAGAGACTTTGACATAAAACAAAATCAAATAACACCCTACACAAACAAACAGGAGATTAAAGAATAGTGTGACATATTTGGAAATCAAGAATGCAAATAAAAATCAATAACAAAATAATAATGCTCTAAAATAGAAAAGGAAAAATAATTCAATAGTCTTAACAGATAGTATAAAATACTGAAGGATAATCTTAATGGAAAATCAGGTAGTTGACCACAGGAAAACACTTACATTTTACTAGATGACATAGAACAGAAGCTGAAAAAAGTGAGAAAGAGACCATATATCTAGATGAAAAGATTTATCACAAAAAATATTAATCCCTCCACAATTGCCTAAAAAACTCCTCCAATGCCAATCACAATTGCAATAGTTAGTTGGCATAGGTGGTGGGGAACTGGAAAAATCAGTTTATGTTCATATAGCTCTTAAGTTTATAAGAAATAAGAAAGTAAGAAAAAGATTAGTGAGGGGTGATTTGTTTGATTAGATATTAAAATTTACCACAAAAACAATGAAACAGCATGAGAAAAGACTAGAATCAAACACAGAAATAGATACAAAAATATATAGACATGTTATATGACAAAATAGACATTTATGTTTTAGTAATGGAATGACTTATTTAATAAATAGTACTAACATAATTTGCAAGCCATAAGGAAGACAAATATAAAAGAATGTTAATTCATGCTATTCAAAAATATATTCCAAATAGAATGAAGATCAAAATATCAAAAGTAAAAATTAACTTCCTGTAAGACAAAATAAGAAAACACTTGTATGATCTTGGAGTCGGGAAAAATCTTCCTAATTATTAATAAAATAAATCAAACCTCAGAAGTCATAGTGAAAAATATATTTGATTACATGAAAATTAAAAATTTCTTCATATCAAAATCTCCATCGATAAAATAGACAATAATTCTAAATTGGGCAACAAACTTGTAGCATACACCTTGTGTTAGTATCCCTGGTATCCAAAACACAGAATTTTAAGAGTGACACAAAACTGTGTGTAAACATGGTCAAACAATATAAACAGTTCAGAAGTAAACCCCAAATGACTGATAAATATATGAAAATATAATATGTTGAGAAGGAGGTTCCAAGATGGCCGAATAGGAACAGCTCCAGTCTACAGCTCCCAGCATGAGTGATGTAGAAGATGGCTGATTTCTGCATTTCCAACTGAGGTACGGGGCTCATATCACTGGGGCTTGTCAGACAATGGGTGCAGCCCACAGAGCAGGGAGGGGCATTGCCTCACCCAGGAAGTGCAAGAGATTGGGGAATTCCCTTTCCTGGCCAGGGGAAGCCGTGACAGACAGTACCTGGAAAATTGGGACACTCCCACCCTAATACCGCGCTTTTCCAATGGTCTTAGCAAATGGCACACCAGGAGATTTTATCCCATGCCTGGCTCGAAGGGTCCCATGCCCACGAGCCTTGCTCACTGCTAGCACAGCAGTCTGAGATTGAACTGCAAGGTGGCAGCAAGGCTAGGGGAGGGGCGTCTGCCATTGCTGAGGCTTGAGGAGGTAAACAAAGCGGTCGGGAAGTTTGAACTGGGTGGAGCCCACCGCAGCTCAAGGAGGCCTGCCTGCCTCTGTAGACTCCAATTCTGGGGGCAGGGCATAGCTGAAGAAAAGACAGCAGAAACTTCTGCAGACTTAAATGTCCCTGTCTGACAGCTTTGAAGAGAGTAGTGGTTCTCGAAGCAGAGAACTGGAGATCTGAGAATGGACAGACTGCCTCCTCAAGTGGGTCCTTGACTCCCAGGTAGCCTAACTGGGAGACACCTCCCAGTAGGGGCCGACTGACACCTCATATATCTGGGTGCCCCTCTGTGATGAAGCTTCCAGAGGAAGGATCAAGCAGCAACAACATTTGCCATTCTGCAATATTTGCTGTTCTGCAGCCTCTGCTGGTGATACCCAGGCAAACAGTGTCTGGAGTGGACCTCCAACAAACTCCAACAGACCTGCAGCTGAGGGTCCTGTAAGAAGGAAAACTAACAAACAGAAAGAACATCCACACCAAAACCCCATCTGTAAGTCATCATCATCAAAGACCA